GGATCGGGGCAGGGGCTGCTGGCGGGGCTGAGGGAGCCAGGAGAGCTGGGCTGCGGGGAGGGGGCAAGAGCTGCATCCCGGCCCCGGAGAGGGGAAACTGAGGCGGGGAGCGGGAAAGGGCATGTCCCTGGGGCAGCCGTGAGTCAGCGGCAGAGACTCCTCCGCGCCCTGCTCCAGGCCTCAGCTGGGGAGGGAACCCGGTGTCCTGGCTCCCGGCCCCCACTGCTTCATTACCCCCTAGATCCCACTCCCCTCCCACCACCCAGGCACCCTGATTCTCAGCCTGCGCCTCAGTTTCCCCACCTCAGTCTGGGCAGGAGGGAAGCTCTGGTGTGCACAGCTCCCGGTGCACAGATCTCGGTCGGGGTGGGTGTGTTTCTGGGTGCCGCTGGCACCCAAAGGGCAGCAGGGCTGGGAGCGGCCCAGGGGGAGGCAGGCACCAGGGGAGCCTCAAAAATAGCCCGGAGAGGTCAGTGGGACCCACCCCCAGGCCAAGGCAGCAGGACCCCAGGGTGACGGGTACAGAAGGTCCTGCGGCAGCTGGGGCTGGGGGACGGTGTGGGGGAGAGGCGGGGGCAGTATATGCCAGGGGGGTCTGGGATGGGTAACATGGGGCTGGGGGCTCAGGGGACTATGGACTGAGCAGCTAGTATGCCCCCCATCCCCCAGCAATGCTGGTGGGCGTGACTGACCTCCCGCATGGAGACCCTCTGTGTTGCAGGACAGGGGAACGTGAAGGTTTAACCCACAGCGCTGGGGATGAGGACATGGGGATTTAACACCCCCCACCCCCATACACACACACTGCTTGGGGGAGGGAAGGGACTCAGTCATTCCTAGGCACCTCCTCATTGGGGTGAACCCCACTTCTTACCCCCCCCAGGGGCAAAATCAAGTGATGTCAGGCCAAATATGGAGGGAGTGGAAGGGGGCATTTAATCCCTTTTGTCCCCCTCTCCTCAAAGGTGGGGGCAGGTGTCTCCCTCCTGCCCCACAAGGTGGGTGCTGTGGGGGGGCAAGTTCATGTGAGAGGCAGTGCCGGGGGGGCAGACGGCTTCTGGGGAAGAGGCATTGGGGCCCCCAAAACAGGCTGGGAGTGGCAGGGCCCCAGGAGAGCTGGGGGGGGGGTTAGTAAATTCCGTGGGAGTTCAGGTGTGGGGGCAGTGTCGGGGGCAGGCAGGGGCAGTGAGTGCCAGGTAGGGTGGGCAGGGAGGGGGCAACATGGACCAGGCAGGCTCAGCCAGGCCCCTGCCTCTCCCTTTCCCTGCAGGGAGTGTAAAGAGCCAGCCCCTCTGGAAAGCCGGGCCAGGAGCAGGGGACGAGGGGTTACAGAGCAGGGCCGGGGAAGGGGCACAGCGGGCTAAGCTCTCACAGGCACCTTGTGGGAAGAGAAAGTCCCTCAGCCTAAGCTAGTCCCAACCCCAACCCTAACCCCAAAGTCCCTCACCCTAAGCCTGCTACCCCAAACCCTCACCCTAAGCTCAGCCCGAGCTGTAAGCCCAGCCCCAGGCCTGTGTGCCAGTGACTGCCCCTCCCACCATGGGTCAGTGCTTCTCACGAGTCCCAGCCATACCCCAGCCCCCGGCCCGAGAAGGCCTCTCTTGGACCCCCAAGGGCCGTGGGGGTCTCCCTCCCCCAGGCAGGTAGGGGGCCTGACCACCTGGCTGCTTCTTCCTCAGCCCCCAGCCTGGCTGCGGGGTGTGGGGCCGGGAGCGGGTCTGGACTCTGGATCCTGCAAGGGGATTTCTCTACCCTGGACCCCCCAGGAAACCCCTCTGGGTGCTTCCTGCCCCCAACAGTGGAGTCCCTGGAGCAGGGGTAGGACCACGGGCCTGTGGGGTGCAGGCACTGCTGGGCCCCGCTCCTTGGAGGGGGCGGACGAGGTGAGGAGGTTGAGGCCCTGCTCTCCAGCCACAGCGGGTGGCCTGTCCCCAGGAGCACGTCCCTACCACAGTGACAAAGGAGAAAGGCCCCTGGCAGGGGTGGCAGGGCTGGGACACGGGGCAGGGCGGTGCGTCTCTCCAAACCAGCGCTGAGATGCGGCAGCCCGGCAGCGGGCGGGAGTCACAGACAGCGCTGCCCAGGGCTGCTAAACAGGCAGCGGCGGTG